TATAAAAGCAAAATATATATATATTTTTTATAATGAAAAAAGGGTCAATTATTCAGGAAGATATAACAAGTATAAATACATTTGAACCCCAGGAAAAAGTCTCAAAGTACACACAGCAAAAACTAAGAAAACTGAAGGACTAATTGACAATTCAGTGATAAACACTGAAGATTTCAATGTTGCACTTCCAACAATGAATAGAACAATTAGGCAGGAGATCATGAAGAAAACAGAAGACTTAAACAGCACTAGGTACCATGTATAACCATAATCTATAGAATATGCAATCACAGCAGAATATATTAAGACATTCTTGTCAGGTACTCATGAGTGCCTTGATAAACCATATGCTAGGCTATAAAACATACCTCGATAAATTTAAAAGGTATTAAATAGTTCATCATCTCTTCTGCAAACACAACACAATTAAAAACAAAAATCAATAACAGAAGAATAATTAGAAAACTTAAACATGTATGAAAATTAAAGAACACACTTCTAAATAACCAGTAGGTAAAACACACACACACGAAAAATTACAACATAATTTACATGAGTGAAAGTAAAAACACAACACAACAAACCTTAGCCAGTCATAGTGGCCCATGCCTATAATTTCAGTTACTCAGAGGCTGAAACAGAAGGAACAATTGAGCCCAGGAGCTCAAGGTCAGGCTGAGCAACATAGTGAGGCCCTCCCTCTAATAAAATGAACAAATGTTTGGGGATGCAGCTAAAGCATTCTGTAAAGGGAAATTTATATTTGTAAATGCCAGTATAAAACAAGAAGAATTTCAAATCACTAACCTAACCTTCAATCTAAAGAAACTAGAAAAAGTAAAAATGCAAGCTAAACACAAAGCAATGAGAAAGAAGGAAATAATAGCATTAAGAGTAGAAATTAATGAATAGACAGTAGAAAAAAAAAAAGAAAACCAATAAAACCAAAAGTTTAACAAAATTGCCCCACTTTTAGCTAGATGAAACAAGATGAAATGAGAGAAAATGCAAATTACTAAATCAAGAATGAAAAAAGCAGCATTGTTACTGACTTTAATGAAATTAAAAAAAAAATAAGAGGGAATACTCTGAACTATTGTGCTCTTGCAAATTAGATAACCTAGATTAAAAGGATAAATTTTTAGACAAACCCAAACTACCAAAACTGACTCAAGAATAAATAAAAAATCTGGAAAGGTCTATAACAAGTAAAGAGATTGAAACAGGAATTAGGAAAACTACCCACAGTGAAAAGTTTGGACCCTACTTCACTTCACTTGCTTCACTGATGCACTCTATCAAACATTTAATTAATACCAGTTTTTAACAAACTCTTGCAAAAAGTAGAAAAGGAAGGAAAACTTTGAACTTATTCTATATATTACCTTGATACCAAAACCAGACAACTATCACAAGAGAAAAAAAATCTATACATTAACATCTCTAATTAATATACACATAAAAATCCTCAAAAAAATACTAACAAACCAAATGCAGACCCATATTTAATGACTTACACTCCATTGCCTAGTGTTTACTACACTAGGAATGCAAGGTTGATACAACATCCAAAAATCAATCAATATAACACACCATATCAATAAAGGACAAAAACTACATGAGCATTTTCATAGAAGTAGAAAAGTATTTGACAAATCTATCATCCTTACATGATAAAAGCTTTCAAGAAATAAGAATAGAAGGGAACTCCTGAACCTGATGAAAAGCATCTACCAAATAGAAGAGAACTTCCTAAACTTGATTATCCACAGCTAATATCACACTTAAGCAGGAAAGACTACATGCTCTCCATCTTAGATGAGAAATAAGACAAGGATGTCTGCTCTTACCTTTGTATTCCACATTGTCCTGTAGATTCTAGCCAGGACAATTAGGCAAGGAAAGGAAGTAAGTATTCAGATTGGAAAGAGGTGACTATTCACAGATGGCATGCTCTTGTATATAGAGAATCCTGAGAACTTCACACAAAAATTAGAACTAATAATTCCAGCAAGATTGCAGAATTTGAAGTCCATATCCAAAAATCAATTGGATGTCTATACATTGGTAATGAAAAATATAAAACTGAAATGAAGAAAATAATTTTATTTATAATAGCACAAAAAACAATTAAATACTTATAAATAAATTTAACAAAATTCAATAATTGTACACTGAAGACTACAAAATTTTGTTGAAAAAATTATAGAAAATCTAAATAAATGAAAAGAACTGGAAGACAATACTGTTAAGATGGCAATACTCTCCAATTTGGTACACAGATTCAATGCAATGTCTACCAAAAAAATCAATTACTTTTTTCTAAAAAAATTGACCAGCTGATTCTAAAATATATATGAGAATGTAATGGCTCCAGAATAGCCAAAGTAACATTTAAAAAGAATATCAAAGTTGGAAGATTCATACTTCCTGATAACCAGGTTTATTACAGAACTATAATAATCAATACAGTGTGTACTAACATAAGAACAGACAAATGAATAGAATTGAGCATCCAGAAATATAGCTTACATTTATGATCATTTGATTTCAGATTTGAATTCCAAACATATTTAATGGGGAAATAACAGTCTTTTAAGAATTGTGTGAAAATAGTCTTTTCACAATGACCTTTTCAACCCAATTATGTGTTGAAAAGAAGAGTCTTTTCAATGTTCTTCAGGCAAAGAATTTATTTGGACCCTCTACTTCACACAGTAGGCAAAAATGAACCTAAAGTGGATTTAAACCTAAGTGTAAAAGCCAAAATTACAAAACTTTTAGAAGAGAGAACATAGGGGAAACTTTTCACAAAGTTTTGTTAGGCAACGATTGCTTAGACATAACACCAAAAACATTTAGAAAACTGAACTTTACAAAAATTTTAAAATTAGTGTATTAAAGGACATATAAAGAAATGAAAAAACAATACACACAGTAGAAGAATATGCTTACAAATTATATATTTGATACATTACTTTTACTCAGAATATATTAAGATTTATTACAACTCAACAATGAAAGAACAAGTTAAAAAATAGGCAAAAGGCTGGAGTACATATTTCTCCCAAGAAGAAAGACAAAAGACTGATGAGTACATAAAACAATGCTCAACATCATTATTCATTAGGTAAATGTAAATCAAAACCTCAGTGAGATACTACCTCACACCTAATAGAATAATAAAACTTAAAAAAATAAGACAATATCGGCCGAGCACGGTGGCTTATGCCTGTAATCCCAGCACTTTGGTAGGCCAAGGCAGGTGGATCACCTGAGGTTAGGAGCTTGAGACCAGTCTTGCCAACATGGTAAAAACCCCTGTCTCTACTAAAACTCCAAAAATTAGCCAGGCATGGTGGTTGACCTGTATGTAGTTCCAGCTACTTTGGAGGCTGAGGCAAGTGAATCGCATGAAGCTGGGAGGTGGAGGCTGCAGTGAGCCAAGATTGTGCGACTGCACTCCACCCAGTCTGGGCAACAAGAGTGACACTCCATCTCCAAAAAAAAAAAAAAAAAAAAAAAAAGGAAACAATGAAAATATCCAGTGTAGATAAAACATGAAAAAAATGGAAATTCTCATAAATTTCTAGCTTTAAAATGAAGCAGTCATTTTGCAAAGCTGTTTGGCTGGTCCTCAAAATATTACACATAAAGTTACCATACGCTGCAGCAATTTGACTCCTAAGTATGTACCCAAGTGGAATACAAATATCTGTCTTTATAATCACTGACACATCAATGTTCATGTTTGCATTGTTGATAATAGTCAAAAAGTGGAAACAATCTAAATGTCCATCAACTGATGAACCAATAAACAGATGTGATATATCCATATCATATTTCATTATTGTTATAGCTCATAAAAAGGAATTAAATATTGATACATGGTACAAAATGAACTAACTTCAGAATAATATAATAAAGGAAAAAAGAAAGCCACAAAATACTACATATTTAATCATTCCATTTATATAAAGTCTCCAGAACAGGCAAATCCAAAGAGACAGAAGGTAGATTACTGGTTACCAGAAAACCGGGAGTAGGGAGGAATGGGAGTGACTGCTCTTGGGCATGGGGTTCCTTTTGGGGATGATGAAAATATTATATAATTGGATAGTGATGATGGTTGCACAACTCCATAAATATTCTAAAAACCTCTGAATTGTATACTTTATATGGTCAATTTCATGCTATGTGAATTATATATCAACAAGCTTTTCATTACAAAAAGAAAAATGGAAATAGCTTTAAAGGAGATAATAATTTGTATTTCATCCAAAGCATAGGTCTTAACTTCTTTGTCCAAAATTCTGGCAGAAAATAACAAATAATAAAAAATAAGTATAATCTTCACAGGAATTTTTAAAGGTTTATTCTACCTCACTTTATTGTTCTGTTACAATGCCTTCATCAAAATGCAGGAATTCATAAAGCTTGCCTGATAGAGGGCAGTTGAATAAAATTCACAGTTCAAAGTATGACAGGAGCACAAACTGTTAAAATAACATTCAGATTTATCAGATTATCTCTTTAATTTAACTGTTATAGAAATAAATTTATTTTCACACAAAACAAAATTTATTCTCATTATCATTCTATTGCAAAAAGGAAAAGGAATAAACAATCTGACAAGCTGAAAAATCAGCAAAGCAACTGAAATTACTTTAAGGATAACATGTTCTAAATGTCTATTGTAATAAACAAAACAAAAAAATTCAATATGACTATATTAGAGTGTCTCTTCCCTTTCATGGTAAATTATACGGAATATGTTTTCAGATTTCAATTACATTTTTAAAGCTTTAAGGAAAGAGCTCTTTGTTGTTCTGAAATACCATTAAAATAGATTACTTATGTTAATTGACGCATATTAAACAGTGACAACCGTTTGTTTTTTTTTTTTTTTTTCCTACTAAAGTGTATATCTTTGTACATTAAAAACAAGGATATACAAACTAGAAGTTAGAGACCAGAGGCCCAACTTGGGACCTGACAGGATGGCTGGGCTGCCCCGCAGGATCATCAAGGAAACCCAGTGTTTGCTGGCAGAACCAGTTCCTAGCATCAAAGCACAACCATATGAGAGCAACACCCATTATTTTCACGTGGTCATTGCCGGCCCCCGGGATTCCCCCTTTGAAGGAAGGACTTTCAAACTTGAACTATTTCTTCCAGAAGAATACCCAATAGCAGCCCCTAAAGTGCGCTTCATGACCAAAGTTTGTCATCCTAATGTAGACAAGTTGGGAAGAATATGTTTAGATATTTTGAAAGGTAAGTGTTCCCCAGCCCTGCAGATCCACACAGTTCTTCTATCGATCCAGGCCTTGTTAAATGCTCCCAATCCAGATGATCCATTAGCAAATTATATAGAGGAGCAGTGGAAGACCAACGAAGCCCAAGCCATAGAAACTGCTGGAGCAGGGACCAGGCTATCTGCCATTAATAATATTTAAATTGATCCGATCATCAAGTATGCATCACTTCTGTTGTTCTGCCAAGACTTCTTTCTTTTGGTTTGCATTTAAGGGGCCCAGTCTTAGAAACATTACAGAATAAAAGCCCAGACTTCTTCAGTCATTTGGTGATTAAATGCACGTTAGCAAATCTATGTCTTGTCCTGATTCACTGTTGTAAAGTATGAGTAGAGGCCAGAAGTGTCATCTGGACTGTTGGGAAACGTTTGAAAGCAGTGGCCCCTCTCTGCTTTTATTCATTTCCCCAGTCCTGGTTTAAGTGTAAAGCACTGTGAATTAAGGTAGTTGTCAGGTTAACTGCAGGGGCATGGGTGTTTTTCATTTTATTTTGTTTTATTTTTTGAGGGAGGAGGTGGTTTTATTTTAATTTATGAGCTCCTTTCCCACTTTTTTTGGTGATCTAATTGCATTGGTTAAAAAGAGCTAACCAGTTCTTTAGAATATGTTCCCTAGCCAGGTCTAACTTTATTTAGATGCTGAAGATGGACAAACTTGATTGTTTGAACCAGAATGGGAAAGTTAAACAAACATCACAGCTCTCAATAATAACACTATGACTTTGCTGTCAAGTATAGATGACCCCCTTCAAAAATAGTTTGTGACCATTTTGTATGGCTTGTCTGGAAACTTCTGTAAATCTTATATTTGAGTAAAATATTTTTTGTTATTCTAAAAACTAAGTGAAAATAAAAATAAACTAAAAACTAAATTCCACCAGAATAATATAGATCTTAGACTGATTCCTTTTGGTGTTGAATATTTAAGGGAATTACATAAAACCTTGAACATAAAACACTTAATAAAATGAATTTCTATACTCATTTTCATAAAAATAAAATATAAACATCAACTTCATCCAGTTTTTAATGTATAGTCTCTCAAAAATATATTTCTCAAAAATTTTGGCTTATAATGGGTACATGTTATAAATCAATGTACATGCAGTATATTTTTTCACATTGTACATTATTATTATTGATAATTTATGATATTAGCAGTAAAGTTCTAGGATAAAAGAAAAACTTCTCGAGTAGTAACTATAAATTATAATAATCTTTATTCATCTGAATATATATCAATTTTTTAAAAAACAACAAAACCAAACATCTTTCTAATTTATCTCAAAGTATGGTTAATTTGAATTCCATCAAATCACTGGCATTTCAGTAATCGCGTGTTTAGTTTCCTGTATTTTTAAGATAAATACACAATTAGTGTTATCGAATTAATTAACATTAATTGTGTGCTTAACTGTTTCCAACTAAACAGTTTGGAAACATCTTTTTGGTAATACCTTTTCACCTTCCCAGCAACCTTTCTGATGCTGGTAACGTGAAGGTATTTCTTTTTCTGAACATGGAAGTAGAGGCTGAAGCAAGGTCCTTTTTCCTTGACTCGGCTTCCCTGCTTTCAAGCATCAGGGTCTATGCCTGAGGATTCTCCTCGGGCTCTGGAACTGTCAAGTGCTGCTTTCACACGCAACAAGGACTTACTTAAGAACTATAACTTCCATATTAGAACTCTTTATTAGAATATCATACAGCAGATAATTCAGGCGGCTCTTTTGGTTAAAGGTGACTGGAAAAGTATCACAGTCACAGCACTTGACAACATCCTTGCTGTTTTATATGAGCTTTGTGATCTGTTACGTTGGAACTATCTCTAGACCTTTTTATATGAGAGATCAGCAGAGCTTAAAGGTGATGTGAGGTATTGAAAACTTATTGGTGTACCACAAAACCACTGCAAGTTTGCAGGGTTCCAGATTAATATTCTACCATTATATGTTTTTTGTTGTTGTTGTTGGTTTTGAGATGGAGTCTTGCAGTGTTGCCGGGGCTGGAGTGCAATGGCGCAATCTCGGCTCACTGCAACCTCCGCCTCCCAGGTTCATGCAATTCTCTTGCCTCAGCCTCCCGAGTAGCAGGGATTACAAGCACACACCACCACACCCGGCTAATTTTTTTGTATTTTTAGTGGAGATGGGGTTTTACTATGTTGGCCAGACTAGTTTTGAACTCCTGATCTCATCATCCGCCTACCTTGGCCTCCCAAAGTTCTGGGATTACAGGCTTGAGCCACTGTGTCCCGCCAATATTCTACTTTTATAATAAGTATTTATAGATACTATTTCCCTGGTATTTTTTAAAGTTTCATAATAAAAGACAAAATAATTTTTGAGACACATTTTGAGTATCATTTCATGTCTTCAGTTAATACTGAATAAAAATTTAAAAACTAGTATTTATCATTTTGTGGAGCATTATGAGTATTGCCAATCAAGGCTTAAAAGTCTGGAGTATAGTAAATTTACATTAACCTTAGGAGCAATGTTAATGAAACATACATATTTTTCTCTCAAAAGATTAAGTTTCTTTGGAAGAATACATATATGCAGTACGTTTTATATAGTATAGCTTAATTCATGAGGACATTATTTTGTTTATTTGTAGATGTACAAAATGATAAACCTACCTGCATTATTAATAGGTCCATTAAAAAATTAGCACAATTCCTACTTTAATTTCTGACACATGAAAGAACTGAGATATTCTAAAAACTAGAAGTAAATGAGATTAATTAAGCCATATTCAATGCCAGATATAACTATATTTACATGAACTTATTTTACATGGCTTAAAACAATTTTTCCAACACAGACTGTATGCAGAAATTCAAATAAGAAGAAGATTACATTATTGGCTACATGGAGTTATCAGCACCACCTCAAAAAAACAGGTCTGTCTAGGGGCTTTATGAAGGCATTCATTATCTTGGTAAATGTATCAAAAGTATGCCTGAGCCATGCAACTTCGGAAACCCAATGTGTCAGCAGATCTCAGCAAAAGACTCAAGTTAATCACGAATGAAGGCAAATATATGGAAATGAAACTGCTTCCACCCTCGTAAGCAACCTTTTTCATCCTTGTAGGAAGACCAACATGGGAAGAAAGTAACCAGCATATCTGTGAGTTAACATAGAAACAAATGCCAGCGAGATCAAAATACGTGATGCCTATGTGAATACTCTCCCTCCCCACTACTTCTATTTTCTGTTTACACTTAAATTTATATAAAGAAAAGACACGCCTCTCTGCTTACACTCAGGTATGCCATCTTACAGGTTTGGGGACCACCACCACTCTTTCAAAGTGCTTTGCACATTCCTGCTAGGATTCATGGGGTATTAATTTTATAACTGAAATCTCAGAAGCTAATTCTAATTCCTTGAGGGAAACCATAAGAAAAATACACAAGTGATGTTACCTAACTAAATAGCATTAATTTTGTGCTTAACTGTTTACAGACTAAAAAGGTGATATTCTTTCATCCTCCCAGCAACTTCTGAATGCTGGTAGTATTATTATATTCACTTTTTTTGGACAAGAAAATAGTCAAAGTCTGAGTCAAAGTCTCTTTTCACTGACTCTACTCAGTGATATCTGAGTGTAACCAGACAGACATATCTTTTTCTCTTACAATAAATTTAATTGTAAGAGAAAAATATCAAGGTTGGGGGAGGGGAGGAGGACAATTATTCACACAGACGTGTAGTGTTTTGATCTCTCTGGTATTTGTTTCTATTTGTTAACTCAAAAACAGGCTGGCTATTTTTTCCCATGTTGATCTTACTACAAGGATGTCAGTGTTCATGTACTGAGTATGTACTTAAGGAAGCCTATCATAAGTCTCTTCAATTCATCTATGTTTGGCAATTAGTCAGGTAACATCTGAAGGTGACAAGGCACTGCTATTTTAATTCCAGTAGAAGGAATACAATTATTATATATCTTATATAAAATGACAAATAAAAATATGTCAATGTGGTGATTACAAATGAAATTATTTATTTACATTCCTAAACTTACATTGAGATGGACAGAACTACTTTTTTAGTTTGTATTTATATAGATCTATACAGATTTGTCAGATACAGAAAATATAAAAACGGGAAACTGGTTCAATTAAACATTTTTTCTGAAATTCAGATTTAACTAATGAACTGTTTTTAATCTGTCAACCATATCTATATAAAAATGTGTCAGAAAACTATTTTTTGATAAATGGCAAAAACTATGTAGTTTTTGATATTATCTTTAGTAATACAGAATGTGGAAATATGACCTTTGGTAATATAAAGTGAGGAAAAAGAACATTACAAAGTCTCTCATAAGCTATAACAACCACCAAAACACATGCTGTCAAATTATCTAATTCATATCTTCTACCAGCAGGTTTCAAGTTAAAATGAATGCAGATGAATTGCTGCTTTTTACAGTTATATAAGGCTTATCTCATTTTTTTTTTGACAGGGTCTGCACATAACAAAGGTCTTAATGGAAGTTGAAATTGTCTTCAATTATACCAGATGTCTAAAGGTGGGTCAGCCTAGCTTTTTAAGCTCTTAAAATGTCTCTGATTTTTGTCAAGGTTACCAAATTAACAGAACTCTAGGACCTTTTGTCCTTACGTAAAAGTTAAATCTTGGAGGCTCACACTACATACATTTGGATTTTTTTTTTTTTTTTTTTTTTAGATTTCCCATATTAGGTTTGGAGATAAACTCACAACTTTATAAGAAGGGCTCTGAAGATAAGGCAAGGACTGAAGCTGAAGTCCCTTGCAGTCATGAGTGCTAAGGGAGTATGGTCTCTGATTTCAGAAATGGAAGGAAAGTTTATTTTCATCTATGATTCATTAATTTATTTAGCAAATATTAATTATTAATTAAGCATCCTGACAGAGCAGAAGCATCGCCATCTTGGACAAGAACCATGATTTTAATGTTCCCCTTGATCAAAAAACTGCCTAATCCAACCAAAAGGGCATCAGCCTAATGGCTAATGTCAGCATGACTGTGAACCACAAGTGACATCTCCAACCAGAAACACTTCAATCTTAAGATAAACCCTTCCCCAACCAGAAACATGACAGTCCCAAGATAACCTCCCCTCTGACCAGGGAGATGTCAGCCCCGA